TGTGTGTGTGTGTGTGTGTGTGTGTGTGTGTGTGTGTGTGTGTGTGTGTGTGTGTGTGTGTGTGTGTGTGTGTGTGTGTGTGTGTGTGTGTGTGTGTGTGTGTGTGTGTGTGTGTGTGTGTGTGTGTGTGTACGCGAGAATAGCTCCGCCGTTCATGGAGGCAACCGATGCGAGTCGACTGGTGTGTGTCGTCGTGGTTTCGTATCAAGGAATACTCACACACACACACTCAGCTTTCTTGCTGCGAGAGAGAGAGAGATTTTTGTGTGAATCGGAGATAAACTACTGCGAGTTGAGGAGTGAGTAAAAGAGGAAGAGTATGTATGTATGTAGAAAGATGAACAACAGTCGGGCTCGGACTGGACACCAACGCGGTATGGGTGGACGCGGGACAGATGATGACGACACGCACGAGCGACACACAGACACAAACAAGCTCACAAGACACACAGCCAGCTGGCTGCCACACACCCTGAGTTGGCGTACACAGAACTCAGGAAGAGGAAGGTAATGCGGTTTCTCTTTTAGAAGGGTGGCCCGGCCATGAGAAGCCGCTGGGACGAACCGCCGAGCCGGTGGTCTGGCCTCGATCGGGCTCAGCAGCGACGTATCACTCTCAGCAGCCGCAGGCTTCGCCGAAGCTCCCCGTCCCGCTCAAACAGCTCTGATCGTCGACGCTCTCGCTCTCCGCTTCACCGCTCGCGGTCGCCGTCATTCGCCGGCAGCGACAGTGGGCACCGGCGGCGCGACGAGCGCGGTTCACGACCGCGCTCGAGCGGCTGGGGCCGCATGCGCGACGACGGCGCTGCCCAATTTCGGGAATCGCCAGGGCGCTTGGACCAGCCGCTTGAGCAGTTTCGCGCTGGCGGCGGGCTCAGCTCTGGCGTGCTTGGCTGGATGAGCGCAGAGTCTGGCGGTGGCGGCGGTGCTGCGACGCGGCACCCGCCTCGCGAGCAGCCACAACCTGAACGTCGACGCGACCGTCCTACGACGAAAGGCGGCCATTGGCAGACGGGAGCGGTCGGTTTCCTCCTCCCGAACACGAGTTGGAATGAGGCCGACACGCCACGCGTCGTCGAGTGCCTCGCGACACGAAATCGGCCTCACTGCTCGCGCGAAGTCACAGTTCGGCTGCTCGGAGGCCACACCACGGAATACGTCACCGACGACGCCCACCTACGGAAGATGTGTGACTTCCTGGCGCGCTTTTGGCGAGAGCATGGCGGAGAGGAAGACTTCAGGAGGGGAGTGCAGGCTGGACTCGAGCAGATGGCGGCGAATGAGACGCGCGATGCGTCGCGGGGAGGCGCTTGGATCCACGCGGTGGTGTCCGCGGAGCAGTTGTGGGACCGGTTCTTTACGCGGGACCAACTCCACCATGGGCGCGTGATACCGGAGGTCCCAGCCTATCTGGCACAGCCACCTGTCGAGTGACGCGTACCGGTTCTAAAGGTTCTAAAGTAGACGCGTACAAATAAAGCAAAATTTCTGTCCTTTCGTGTGTGCGTTGTCTTTTGACCTCGTCCCTGCGCCTCAACTGGTGCGGAGTGGTCGAGTGCAATCCCTCTGTGGTCGAGTGCAATCCCGCTGGCGCTGCCGAGCTGACCGAAGAGGAACTACGGCATAGGCGGGGTGTTGCATAGGTGGGGAGTCTCCCCCGCTGGTCTCCTCCTTCCCGTTTTTTCTTTTCTTTTGAGAGCAGAACGCCGGGTTTGTCTTGTATGTCAGTGCGTGTCGGGGGGGTGTCAGAAGTGTCGGTGGGAGGCAGCGAAGGGCGGGGCAAGGCCGGAGGCGCAACCATTCGTCGGCTCGTCGGGGTTGGAGAAGGGGGAGGGAAGTCTGGGCGGTCGGCGAGGGGGTCGCAGTGGACTGGGCGTACGGGGTAGCCGCCACTTTCCTGCCTCACAAGGGCGGGGCTGTCCCGGAAAGTGAGAAACGCCGGGCAGCGTGGTGCACGATTTCAACCTCCCATACGTGTGTTTGATTCGCTCCTTTCCTCGGGCTGTTCCATCTTCCTTTCTCCTTCCAACTCAGGCGAGGCGGGGGGGGGCGTGGGTGCGGAGTGCGGTGCGTGTGAGTGTGTGCATGGCATGTGGCTACAGCAAGTGTCCGTCAGGCTGTATTATTATTAACAACGAAGGCGCTCTCAAAAAAAGAAAACGTGTGCCGACGACCGAAAACCTTCCGCGCGCCGTGACAATCCATCCTCTTGCGCAAAGTACATGTCGCACGCGGTGGGCGTGGCCGCGGCCGCCGCCACCGCTGCCGTGCTTGGCATCGTCTCGCAGGAGCTGCGCACGGCCAAGGTAGCAGGCAGCAGCATGGCACCCACGTTCCAGACCGGCTCCTCCATCCTGATCGAGCGTGTGTCGCTATTCCTCGGTGCAGTCTGCCACGCAGCTCTGCCCCTCATCGAGCACCGGGCGCCGCATGGGCCGCCTAGTGATGGGCTCGCGCGCCACGCTCGCACCGCCTTCACCGCCGCCTTCACCGCCACCACCGCTGCCCCCCTCACCCGCGCTACCACCGCTGCCCCCCTCACCCGCGCTCGCCGCCGCGACAGGGCGCCTCGCCCGCGGCGACGTGGTCGTGCTGCGCTCGCCCGAGGTGGAGCGAGACGAGCCGAGCGAGGCGGCGAAGCCGTGCTCGCTCCCGACCCGTCCCTGAGCCTCCCTGTAGGTCGACCGAGACTGGCTGACAAAGCGCGTGGTCGGCGTCGGCGGCGACTGGCTGTATGCGAGGGACGGCCGGCTGGTGAGGGTGCCGACGGAGCACGTCTGGGTGGAGGTATCGAGGGACACGTCCGAGACACCCCCCCTCCCCCCCCTCCTTCCCTGCGGCGCTTTCGAGGCCCTTCCGAGACACTCCCTGAGGCGCTGCCGAGGCACTGCTACGGCCGGCTGCTTCTCTTGGCCCGCCACACCGTTGAACACCAAAAATGGCAGATACCAGCGCGTCAAGCTTGCGACTTCCGTCCCTCTTATGTACCTCATTTGATCGTGTTCTTTTGCCCCTTCTGCAGGGCGACAACGCCTCCAACTCGAACGACAGCACGCACTACGGCGCCGTGCCGCGCGGCACGCTGGCGGGTACGGTGGTGGCCAAGGTGGCACGCCCACCACACGCCCATCACACGCACACCACTCGCCCATCACACGCCCATCACACGCACACCACTCGCCCATCACACGTCCACCACACGCACACCACCACACGCCCACCACACGCACAACATTCGCCCATCACACGCACACCGCAGCCCATCACGCATAGACACAACGCCGGCCCAAGTGCCAAGACGCACGAGCACAGACAGTCGAGAAGGGAGAGACAGCGACGACAGCCAGAAGCCAGCACTGGGTCCCAGGAAGGCGAATGCGATGACGGCCATCACACGCCCATCACACGCCCATCACACGCACACGCACACGCACACGCACACGCACACGCACACGCACACGCACACGCACACGCACACGCACACGCACACACCCCGGCGCAGGTTTGGCCGCCGGAAGAGGCGGGGCCTGTCGCGACGCGCCACGCCGCCTGCGAGGTGGGCCGCCATCTCATCACCGAGATAACCCGAGATTACCCGAGATTGCCCGAGATTACCCTACATCTCCCCACACCTCCCCAACATCACCACAAGCTGCCTCTTCATCTCCCCACACCGCCCCCCACATCTCCCCAACCCCTCCCCAGCACCTCCCCAGCACCTCCCCAGCACCTCCCCAGATCTCACATCTCCCCCGCATCTCCCCAGGCGAGGGTCATCCCCGCCGCCGAAGCGTCTCGCCTCCGCAGCCTCCCCACGGAGGCCGGCGAGACCCTGCGTGCAGCGCTGCACCGAGCCCGCAGCGCGATGCATCCGCGCGCTGCGAGCTCGAGACGGCGTGTCCCGGACACGTCCACGACACGTCCGCGACGCGCGCCCGTAGGCATGAGTACTCCGAGCGATGATGGCGCGCGGTTGTGTCGCCGCGATGTCGGCGCCGGTGCCGGTGCCGGTGCCGGTGTTGTGGGTGGGTGGGTGGGTGGTGGTGGTGGTGGTGGTGGTGGGGTGGGGGGGGGGGGGTGGGGGGGTGGGGGGGGGGTTTTGGGGCGGGAGGCAAGGCAGGCGAGGGGGTTGCTCCGATGGGGTTCTGAGATAAAAATTTGTATAAGGAGGGCGGGCTGGGGCCTTCTGAAGGCAATAGGCGCCCCCCAAAGTTTTTTTTCCGGCCGATGGTGGCCGCTCGGTTCCGGCTCAGCACTGTCCCGTCGCCGCACTGCTCACAGCGCTCAGGGCCGCCGCTGGCGCAGCTGCGCACGGACACGCCGCCGCTGCTCGCGCCGCTGCCGCCTCTCCAGCCTGCGTGCCGCCGGCCAAAGCCGAGCCGCCACACAGGCCTCCGCACCGCCGTGCAGCGCGGGATCGCGATCGCAAAGGCGGCGACGCACGCGGCGGCGGTGCTCCTCGTCGCGCTCCTCGTCGCGCTGCCGCTGCCCACCTCTCCCGCCCTCGCCGCCGCCGCCAACGCTGCGCCGCCGCAGCAGCAGCCGGCCGCCACCGTCTCGCACGGCCGCCTCTTCCGGTACTACGGCCGCGCGTCGGCCGCGCAGGCCTCCTCCTCCGCCGCTGCCAGCGCTGACGCCGCCGGCGGCGAGGCTCCGTCCACCGTCGAGACGGGATTGCCGTCAGTCAACCTGCGGCGACGCTGGCTAGATGCGGAGAGAGAGCGACAGTCGGGACAAAGTCCACCACCTTGAGGGAGAAGAGTCAACGGCTCGTGGTCGGGGGGAGTGGAGGTGTCCGGACGCGCGCGCACGCGCGCCCTTTTTCGCCCATCTCACACACGCACACGCACGCACACACGCACGCACACACGCACGCACGCATTCGCACACACGCGCCGCAGGTTGACTGACGGCACTCCTCCCGACGGTACCTGCCTTTGCGCCGCAGGCTGCCCGGCCTCGAGCCCCCGACGCCGGTGGGGGGCGCGCGGCGAAAGACGTCGTTTGTGACTGCGGCGGTGCAGGCCGTCGGTCCTTCGGTCGTCCGCATCGACACGGCGCTCCCTCTTTTGTCTCCCTCCGTCCCTCCCTCCCTCCCTCCCTCCCTCCCTCCCTCCCTCCCTCTCTCCGGGCCAGCTCGAGAAGCTAAGGCGGTGGGCGCCGCCTCCTCACGCCAACATGCTGCGACCAGGAGCGGCTGGTGGACCGGCCCGCGCTCGAGGGGTACCTTTTCCCCGACCGCGGCGGCGAGGGCGACGGGCAGCGGCGCGAGTCCGGGCAGGGCTCCGGCGTCATCCTGTCGGAAGATGGGCTCATCATGACCAATGCGAACAAATGCAGCAGTTGCACGGGCCCAGAAGCAAACGCAAGACCCCTCCACATTTGGATCAGGCCCACGTGGTGAAGAATGCGGCCAAGGTGACGGTCACGCTCATCGACGGGCGCACATTCGACGGCCTGGTGAGGGGCACCGACGAGTTCATGGACTTGGCCGCCATCCGCATCAAGCCGTCCGGGAAGCCGCTGCCGACCGCCCCGCTCGGGCGCTCGGACGAGCTGCAGGTTTCGTCCAAGTTGCACTCCGCTTCCAACTCACCCAGTCACCCCTCCGTTCTTTGGTTCCGATCGCCCACCAGTTGAGTCATGCATCGTCACCAGAATGGCAGCTGAGTGGCCTGCCACCTCCAGGTCGGCGATTGGGCGATCGCCATCGGCAACGCCGTCGGGCTCGACTCGACGGTCACGCTCGGCATCATCTCGTCGCTGTCTCGCTCCGCCGCCGAGGTTGGCATCCCAAACAAGAAGGTCAACTTCATACAGACCGACGCAGCGATCAACCCGGGCAGCGTTGGCGGCCCGCTGCCCGCGCCTTCCTGCCCCCTCTTCACTGGCGCAAGGGTGTGAACAGGCAACTCTGGCGGCCCGCTGCTCAACGAGTTTGGTGAGGTGGTCGGCATCAACACCGCGATCCGCGCCAACGCCGCCGGCATCGGCTTTGCCATCCCCATCGACACCGCCGAGAAGGCGACGGGGACGGATCTCGGCCGATCTCGGGAAGGGCGGCTCATCTCGGCGGATCTCGGCGGATCTCGGCGGATCTCGGCGGATCACGGGCTGTCAGGCGATGAAGACGCTCTCGGCGGGCGGGAAGATCTCGCACGCGTACCTCGGCATCTCGATGCTGTCTCTGACGCCCGAGGCGGCACGGCTCAACAACGCCGACCCAAACTCGAACGTGTACCTGCCCGAGCAGCACGGCGCCGACCCCGTCCTCCTCCGCGCTCTGGGGCCCTTCTAGCATCCTCCGAGGGAGCGTCCCTGACCACACCGTCAGGCGCCCTCGTCCTCGCCGTCGGGCCAGACACACCCGCCGCGAAGGCGGGATTCCGAAAGTTCGACCTCATCGTCGAGCTCGCCGGCGAGATACAGCCGAGATACAGCCGAGATACAGCCGAGATACAGCCGAGATACAGCTCGCAGGCGAGGGATGGCCGAGATACAGCCGAGATACAGCCGAGATACAGCTCGCAGGCGAGGGATGGCCGAGATACAGCCGAGATACAGCCGAGATACAGCCGAGATACAGCCGAGATACAGCCGAGAGATCGGCGAGCGATCGCCGAGGCGTGGGCAAGCTCGACCCCCCCCCCCCTCGCAGGCACGCCCATCTCGTCGGCCGCGGACGCCCAGCGGCTCGTCGACGAGACGAGGGTGGGGCAGCCGCTGCAGGCGCGTCACGACGGGAGTGGATGGGTTCGCCTGTGATGGGGAAGACCGCGCACCGCTCGCCCACGCGCGCCGGGTCGTTTACGTCGAGTGCCGTGGGGCGGCTGTCTGTCTAGACGTGGAGTCGCGAGGGCCGCCTGGCCCTTGCCCCCCACCACCCTGGGGTGGAGACGGCTCCCTGACCGCACCTCTCCTCTCGCCTCGTCACAGGTCAAGGTGCTGCGGCAGCAGAAGCAGATCAGCCTCTCGGTGGTGACGGGCGACCTCTCGACGCGCCCGGAGCGAAGGTGAGTACAGTGGCCAGGGAGGGGGCGCACGGCGAGCGCGGCATGTTCATGGATGCGGTGCGGGCGGGGAGGCGGGCGCACTCCGCACATAGTGTCACATAGAGTGTCTCGCTCTGGGGGCTGGTTACGGATCTGACAGACTGGGAAAAGAGCCTCTGGTCGTGGAGACGCCGGTTGAAGTTTTCCCCTCTTTTCCTGTAGAATATGTCCATTACTACCTACACTACCTTCGTGGAGCCCCTTCGGTTTTCTTTTCTTCGCTGTCCACCCCGCCGCGCCCCCACTCGCGCAGCCTCGCCTCCGCCGCCGCCACCGCCGCTCCCTCGCCAGACGCGCCGCCGCCCACCCGCCTGCTCGACCTTCCCAGGGAGCTCCTCGAGCGCGCCCTGTCTCGCTGCGACAGCCCCGTCGACATTGCTCGCGTCGCGGCCGTCTCGCTGCTCTTCCACGCCTCGCTTGCGCTGGAGGGCATCCGCTCGTGGGCGCAAGAGCGCGGCTTCGAGCTGCCGGCGCAGCCAGAGGACGAGACCTGCGCCGTGCGGTGGCTGTGCTATTCGGCGTTGCTGTGCGAGTCCAACACGCCGGCGAGGGCGGCAGCAGGCGAACGGCACAGCGTCTTCATCGACGGCGAGGGGCGGCTCTCGTCGTGCGGCAATGAGGCGGAGGGTGAGGAGGACGACGAGGACGACGAGGAGGAATTCGCAGGGCTCCTCGGCCACGGCGAGGGCGCGACGCGGCTCAACACGCCGACCCGCCTCCCGTCAACGCTGGGCGGCGAGCGCGCCATGAGCGTGTCGGCTGGAGTTGGCCACAGCCTCGCCCTCACCGCCGACGGCGCTGTCTGGAGCTGGGGTGAGGGCAGCTTTGGCTGCTTGGGCCACGGCGACGAGCAGGACCAGCAGCTGCCGAAGAAGATCGAGGCCTTTGCTGGGCAGCGTGTCCTCGCTGTGTCGGCTGGAAACTTGCACAACATCGCCCTCACCGCCGACAGTTCCATCTTTGCTTGGGGCGAGGGTGAGACCGGCTGCCTAGGCCACGGAGAGGAACGGCCGAACCAGCTGCTGCCCATGAAGATCGAGGCCTTGGCTGGCCAGCGCGTCCTCGCTGTGTCGGCTGGAGCCGAGCACAGCCTCGCCATCACCGCCAACGGCGCCGTCTGGAGCTGGGGCAGTGGAGACTGGGGCAAGCTGGGCCACGGCGACGAGCAGCGCCAGCCGCTGCCCAAGAAGGTCGAGGCCTTTGCTGGGCGGCGCGTTGTCGCTGTCTCGGCTGGAGGCTACCACAGCCTCGCCCTCACCGCCGACGGCGCCGCTTGGAGCTGGGGCCATGGAGCCCTTGGCCAGCTGGGCCACGGCAACTATCAGCGGCAGCTGCTGCCGAAGAAGGTCGAGGCCTTTGCTGGGCGGCGCGTCGTCGCTGTGTCGGCAGGGACATGGCACAACCTCGCCCTCACCGGCAGCGGCACTGTCTGGAGCTGGGGCGGTGGAGTCTCTGGCAAGCTGGGCCACGGCGACCAGGAAGAGCAGCTGCTGCCCAAGAAGGTCGAGGCCTTTGCTGGCCAGCGCGTCGTCGCTGTGTCAGCTGGACCATTCCACAGCCTCGCCACCACGGCCGACGGCGCTGTTTGTGCTTGGGGCCTGGGCAAAAGCGGCTGCCTTGGCCACGGAGAGGACCTGTCGAACCAGCTGCTGCCCAAGAAGATCGAGGTGTGGTCGCGGGAGTGAGAAGCGGGGACCACCCGGGGACCGGGACCGGGATCGGGGTGTGCGTGCGAGGGAAGGGCTGAACAGATGTCATCATGTTTGGTCGTGCGTGTCGTGCGCGGAGGCCGGAGCGCGGCGTGGGCCCCGAGCGACATCTGTATCGTTTCTCTCTGGTTTCTCTGTATCTGTTTGCGATTGAGCTTTGACGTTGAGGGATTGAGTTGTCGTTTCCGATCGCGACATCCGTGGCACGTGTGGGTGCGGCGGTGCGCCCGCGGACGCCACGACGCACGAGACGTCTCCGAATACTCCAAAGACCCGTTAGTGACTTTACACGCAGCGGGCTTTGGCCTTTGCGCTTGGAAAACGAACTCCGATTCGCAGACTGGCCGCGGACACAGCTCGAACACGGTAACACAGAGCTCAGTGGCCCGCATGTACTCTCCATGCGCCCTCAGGCAAACGCGGTCGGCCTCGCGGGCGGTCGCTGCGGCGGCTGCAGCATCGCGCCCACCCCGGGCGGCATCGACGCGCCGGACGGCGCGCAATTTGACGGCAGCGACATTGACGGCGGGTAGTTGAATCGCGCGTCGCCTATGGGGAGATTGTGGGGAGATATGAGCAGATATGAGCTCGACGTCCGGCTGGTGCGAGAGATGGGGAGATATGGCGAGATATGGGGAGACACGGTGCGAGAGATGTACCAGGAGATATGGCGAGATATGGCGAGATATGGGGAGATGTGGGAGATTTGCGTCGCCGTTGGAGGCGAGCTGCGGCGAGTGGTGGAAGGGCGAGGGCGGCGTGACGGAACCCTCGACAACCTACGAGGGGAGATATGGGGAGATCTGGGGAGATCTGGGAACCCTCGACAGCCACAGAGTCAATACCCCCAACGAGTCTATCCAAGACAGCGAATGCCGCGGAACGCGGTTGAATACGGCGGGACGCGTGTCCTCTCGAGCGCTGGTTTGGATACCAGACTTCGTCTTCCAGCCTAGGCTCGACAACCGTGCCCGCCGGTGCCAGCGTGTTGGCGCCGCGCGCGCGCGGTCCCGCCGGAGACACCAGCTGCCTGGAAAAAAGAAAAGCAGCCGCTCCGAACAGAGGCAGTGTGTGGCGACCGAAAGGGAGGGGGGGGCAGAGAGAGGGGAGTGAGGGGAGTGCGGGGAGAGATGGAAAGAGGAGAAGGGCGAGGAAGAGTGTGGGTTTGGGGTGCGCCTGCTCGTCTGGGCGTCGAGGTCGATCGGCGTGTCGAGGGAGACGTTGACGACGGTTCTCTCAATCTTGAGCCGCAGCCCTGTGTCGTACGGGTTGGCCTAGCGAGACACCGCCGAGAGATCGCCGAGATTTCGCCAAGATGGCTGAGACATAGCAGGGGCTGTTTGCCTCGCGCGACCCCTCCCGGTAGATCTCGGCGGTCTCCCGGCTGTCTCTCGGCGGTCTCTCGGCCGTCTCTCGGCGATCTCTTGGCGGTCTCTCGGCAATCTCTCGGCGGTCTCTCGACGGTCTCTCGGCGGTCTCTCGGCGGTCTCTCGGCTTCGTCTTGCCTGCCGCGACCCCTCCTGGTAGATGTGCTGCGGGAGCCCCTTTCCTCGCAGCACCTTCACCTCGCCCGGGTTGACCTGCGGCGAGGGGAGCGGGCGGCGTCGTGTGCGCGCCTCCCCCCTCCTCCCCGCAAACCTTGTCGGCAGCGAGGCCCTTTCGGCGGGCGAGGCCGACGGGCAGAGGCGCCGGAGGCGGCGCAGAGGGCACTCTTGCGGGTACGTGGCGGTATGGGGCGGAAGAGCGGGGCGGAGGTGCGCGCGCGCGCGCCCACAGCAGAAAGTACGGCTCGCCGCGCTGCATCGCGCTGCCGAACGCCGCGTCGCGCACGCCAGCCGCATCTGCTGCGCGCTGAAGCAGCGCGTCGATCAGCGGCGGGCCCCAGGTGATGGAGCGGTACGCGCAGCCGCGGTGCGGCTCGTCGACGTACCAGTGCCCCTCGTACCGCGCGAAGAGCACCGCCTACGCGCGCGCCGCGGCAGGGGAGCGGCGGTCGGCGGCGCGCAGAGGAGCAGCGTCTG